GGTTTCAGTGTGGAGAGCCTCGTCTGGGGTTGGACACCCCTCACTTACATCCCCCTCCCCCTTCAAAAAAACAAAAATCTTCATCGGTTTTGCCAGCTCTTAGACCACCTGAGATGATTAAAAGTCTTTTGTTTATAACAGATCAGGGCGCGGGCAACTTAGCCGAATGTCTCTCAGAAAAAAAAATATAATAATAATAATAAGACGCATGGAGGCCTGGGAGAGTCGTTCTGGGTTAGGGAGCCGGGGGCCGTGCCTGGCGTGCGCGGCTACCCGTGGCGACCGGGAGGCGCCGGCAGGACTGTGAGTTGGTGTGCCCAGGCCAGGCTGGGCTGTTGCGGCCACGGGAGGCAGCAGGCACTCAGGGGGAAACATTTATACTTCAAGGCGTTGTGGAACGGGGACTGTATTTGAAGCAAACGGACTTTGCGTTTGACAGAACACTGGCCACCCTTCCAAATTGCACGCCCGTCTGGCAGAGTGGAGTTGAATTTTGGCTCTCAAAAGCAGTGTATTTGTTGAGTGCCCTCCCTTCCCCAGCAAAACCCCTGAACTTGGGGAGGGCATGTGTCCCCGTCCGGAGTCAAAAAGAGAGGAGACAGGGCTCTTGAACATTGGCCTCTCTAAGGGAGGATGACTGCCCCCTTTCCCTCCCCGAAGTTCATTGTGAAGAGCCTCCATCCCCCAGAATTAGCGCCGGCCTCGTTGGCTCCCCTGTGTGTCTTCCGCCCTCCAAGCCCTGTACCAAAGGCCCTGGGGCCTGCCGCTTGTCTGCCTCCCGGAGCTGGCATCAGCTTTGGCGGGGAGGCTGGGGCGCCACTGAGCCCCCAGCGAGGCGCCAACGAGTGGCGTGTGTGTTTCCCGTGGGCAACCTTAGCTCCACTAGTCTGACCGCCGGTCCAGCTTGGCTATAGTGAGTCGACCTTACCGGAGTCTGAACCGGACCACGGTCTTTGTGGCGTAAGAACCGCCCTCCCCAAATGTCGTTGTGTTCCTCGTAAGGCAGCCCCAGCAGCTGCACATCTGGCTGTGCGGGAGGGCCCCTTGGCCTTGGCTGGCAGCCGCCTGCGGAAACACCGCTTCTCAGAGGTCTGCAGCTTCTTTCCTCCCTGCACCCAAGATGGGCCTGACAATGGCCGGGGATCAGACCAGGGCCCCTGTGGGCTGAAGACCTCTCCCCGCCCCCCATCTTTCAGAATGTGTGGGGCTTGCAGACTGTGGCCTTGGATCCTGAGGCGCCGAGGTCTTAGACTCTGAAGTGGAAGGGAAATGCCCGAAGTAGGAGTCTTTTGTGTCTGTGCAGAAAGAGGCTCTCCGGCTGCCCGCCCTTGTCGCACGTCTGGATAGACCCCTTATCATATTGATGGTAGGCTCCCCATTTGCCTCCTCGATTTCCTTTCACCTTGGCCTGGAGGTGCACAGTGCAATCCGGAAAAGCACCCTGGGAAGACAGCTTTTAATTGACCCCATCCCCTCTGTCCCCAAAGAGTGGCACAGCCCAGAGGCTGCTCAGGACCCTAATCCGGGATTACCCTAAGAGCTCACAGGTCCACTCAGGCCCAGGGCTTCAACTTTTCTTCTAGGAGACAAGAGTGCAGCTGCAAGCCACTTTTTGATTACAAATGCTAATTTCTTGCTCAAGCTATCCTTTAAATTTTTCCCTGGAAAGAACTGTGGCCGGGAGAAGGGCGTCTTGGTACGGATATGGGTATCCATCTCCTTTATGGTGCAATATTGATTTATTATTAATGGTAACTGCTCCAACTGATCTACAGATGATCGAAGGCAGCAGCTACATTAAATACTCATAAGCAAAATAAAGGCTGGCCTTTAGAGCACTGCCTTTTATTCCATTTGTCTCATCTCAGCCTTTGAGTCTTAGGCACACTTTCCATCCTTTGGGGCCCAGATCGTTCTTTTGTATTATTTCTATCTTGCTCAATTTTTTAGTAATAAAATCTCTCAAAATACTGACAGTCTCTGGTCTCAAGGAGCGGGTCTGAAGGCAGAAATTTTAAAGAGAAAAAATAGAATTTTGTGAGAACAGATTCAAAATTATATCTGATATACACATTTTTGTCTGTGAGTAAAAACCTATTTAACTTTAACCATTATGAGAGTGACTTTGAGCTCAAAGTCACTGAGAGTTGAAATGGAAAGGTCCCCAAATTCTGAAGACACATCCTGCCCATCCTGGCTCACTGTGGACCTACCCGCCCGCAAGGAATTGCTTGTTTTTAGCCTGGATGTTTTCTTCATGTATAAATAAAGATTATGAAAGGGCATTTGATGGGCATAAAATTCCCGATTAGATTGAACAGTCTTGCCTTGCTTTGGGTAGGGAGAATTGGGCAAACGACTTCCCGAGGCAGCTCTCCTGGTGAAGAGGCAAAAGGGCGACACTCGACATTGCTGGAGCGCCAGGCTAGTGTCAGGGCGCCTGCCGCAAGCGAGTGCAGCGGGCACATTATCCAGACTTGGGCACGCTTCGCCCTGCCTTGTAACGAGATCTCCACCATGTGAGAAAGCAAATTTCAGGGCACTGGTCAGTGGCTGTTAGCTTTGAACAGGACCTTAGCAACCCAGAGTCAAAAGTTATGGGTTTTTTTTTTTTTTTTTCCTGCCTTCCTCAACCCCCACCCCCAAGCTTGAAAATAGCTACCCTGTGGAAAGGTAATGTTTAAACTTTGGGCTATGCTGGGATGCCGCAGCCGAAGCTGTTAGAGGCGCCAGGCTTTTAACCTGACAATGATGTTGTATTTGAACAGCTGCGTAAAGGTTTAAAAGGTCTGTCTCATTGCCACCGAGGAGTTTTTTAAAAGAGGTTATTGTTTGGGCGAGGGCACTGAGAGGGAGCAGGCGAAACGGTCCCAAGGCCGAAAATAATGTTCAATGCTTGTTTCCACCAGGCCAGGGGAGATTCCTTTTTGGAAAGAGGGACAAAGGGTTTGTTGGGAGAGGTTTTTGTAAAGGAGCGGGCAGGCTACTAGTTCCCCAAGAATGCTGAGGCGCTTTAAGGAACATCAGGCCCCAAATAAATGTTCTGTTGAGGCAGAAACCCAATTTGTCCACAAGTTCAGTCTCTGGGCCTGAAATCCAAGGCCAGCCCATGCCGGGGGAGTGTGGGGAAAAGAGAACACAGATGCCTTCCTGGCCTGAGAACTGGTTCATGGTCAGAGTTTCTGGGGCTGCTTTACTTTCTTGGCTGCGGGAAGGGAACCTGGCAGGCCGAAGGACGGCTCCAAGCCCTGGCCGGCCCCTCACTCAGGGCAAGTCTTTGGAAATCAAGGTTAAAGCTCCCCGCTGCTGCCCCGAGGCCCCGGCTTCCGCAGGGCGGCTCACCCGGCTGCAACCAGAGAAGGAGGGAGGAAGTTGTTGAAGTTTCTCATAAAACTCTGAGTTTCCACTGTGGTGGTGGTGGTAGTGGTGGTTCTTTAATGAGCTGGACCACAACCCCAGACCATATCCTCTTTATAGAACTTGCCCTCACCAAAGGAAGCAGAGGACTAAGATTCGTCCACCTCCTTCCCCTCCCTTGCAAAGCCTTGTCAAATAATTTTAGGAATTGTCCAAAACTATAAAACTTAACTTCTGACAAAAGTGTAGCTTTTAATATTTGACAATTTGTGTTAAAACAAAAATTGACCTTCTTGGTTAGCAGCAAAGGGAAAAAAATCAATAGTATAATTTTCAATAATTCATAAAGTGAATGCCATTATGCTAAATTTAACTATTAATCTTATCCTTTACAAAGTCTCGATTGATTTGTTAATAAAGTATCTTCCCGTGTGTGGCAACAGCGGGCATAACTCTTTAAAAACCTTCAGAAGCAAGAAAATTACCAAGTAGCCCAAGAATGTAGATGAGAATTTTATTGATCGCCCTGATTCTTCTTAATATGTATTAATAAATTCCACAACCTTTTGTACCTCGCACTTGTCAGAAACCAATGCTTTTACAAAATCCATAAAAGGAAAACATATTTTTCTTTGCAGAAGAACCAAATGACACCTTTGCATTTCTTTCTGTCCTTCTTGGCCCAGTCAGTTTTCTGGAACTTCTGGATTCTGAGGGTCAGCGTTTTCCCCTTTTCTTAAATTTTTTTCCCTTTTTTCCTTCCTTTCTGCCCTCTGTTATCACGGTGTGGGGAGGGAAACCTCGGTTTAGTTCTCCCGCAGGGAGCGGGAGAGACGCTTTCGCGAATAGTGAACTGCAGGCAAAGAATTGTCTCTGGTCTGAAAGCTCCCGGAGACCCGGCTCCGCAGAGGTCAGGGTGTGGTTCCTCTGAGAGCCGAAGGCTAGTGTAGCCCGCCGGGGCGCATAGGGACCGGGAGCTAGGCAGGAGGACCAAGGGGGAGGATAACGCCGGGATCCGACCCAGCTACAGGGATCCGGGCAGGCCGGCTGCTTGGCCTCTCGGCCCTCGCAGCCCTTTTTGCCTCTGTCCTCTGAGAGACACCTTGGCCGCTTCTTTGCCCCAAGGGATCTTTCCTTTGGACCCCTGGGGTGGGATGTCTGAGGGCCGGCGGATTCCGACTCACCTTCCCCGCTGGGCTGCCCCGGACTAAATTAATCAGCCTGCGCCCCCACCCTCTTGTCCTGGACCCGGCCCTCTTAAGCGCGTTCTGCCTGGATGTGTACGGGGGAGATGCTTCTGTGCGCTGGCGCCAGGGTACTCTGGCTTCCCTCCCCGTCCGTGAGTGTCCACTCGGAAGCTCTCTCCGGCCGAGACTTTCCTTTTGCCGGCTGGGCCCAGTGGCCGAAGAGGGGTACGCGAGTGGGGCGGGCTGGCGGTGCGAGCCCTGGAGAGGCGGACAGGAGGGCTGCGGAGAGCGCTGGGCCGGTTGTCTCCAGCGCGCACTATCGTGGGCGCGTAGTAGATGTCGCTGTTGTCCGTGCTTACGCGGCCGGCCGGCCGGGCTCTGGAGCACGTGACCTGAGAGGAGGCTGTGGCTCAAGGCCATTTTCAAATCTCATTGGCTTGGTTGTCATGTGGTCGGCAGAGGCATCCACAATTACACGGGGAATGTTTTCCTAGAGATGTCAGCCTACAAAGGACACAATCTCTCTTCTTCAAATTCCTCCCCAAAATGTCCTTTCCCAACAGCTCTCCTGCTGCTAATACTTTTTTAGTAGATTCCTTGATCAGTGCCTGCAGGAGTGACAGTTTTTATTCGAGCAGCGCCAGCATGTACATGCCACCACCTAGCGCAGACATGGGGACCTATGGAATGCAAACCTGTGGACTGCTCCCGTCTCTGGCCAAAAGAGAAGTGAACCACCAAAATATGGGTATGAATGTGCATCCTTATATACCTCAAGTAGACAGTTGGACAGACCCGAACAGATCTTGTCGAATAGAGCAACCTGTTACACAGCAAGTCCCCACTTGCTCTTTCACCACCAACATTAAGGAAGAATCCAATTGCTGCATGTATTCTGATAAGCGCAACAAACTCATTTCGGCCGAGGTACCTTCTTACCAGAGGCTGGTCCCTGAGTCTTGTCCCGTTGAGAACCCTGAGGTTCCCGTCCCTGGATATTTTAGACTGAGTCACACCTACGCCACCGGGAAAACCCAAGAGTACAATAACAGCCCCGAAGGCAGCTCCACTGTCATGCTCCAGCTCAACCCTCGTGGCGCGGCCAAGCCGCAGCTCTCGGCTGCCCAGCTGCAAATGGAAAAGAAGATGAACGAGCCCGCGAACGGCCAGGAGCCCACCAAAGTCTCTCAGGTGGAGAGCCCCGAGGCCAAAGGCGGCCTTCCCGAAGAGAGAAGCTGCCTGGCTGAGGTCTCCGTGTCCAGTCCCGAAGTGCAGGAGAAGGAAAGCAAAGGTCGGTATGAGCAGAGTTGCCTCCCCAGCGGGGCGCGCAGCCCGGGAACCGGCAGAGAGCGAGCGCCCGGGTGCCCAGCGCCGAGCCTGCGCCCGAATTGGCAGGTGCTGCTCCGCCTGGCTTTTAGAAGGGTGATCTCAGCCCTGAGATAGTCCCCGCTTGTCCCCTGCTGAACTGGCCCTCCCCGCCAGTCCTGGCCCCACGCTGATGGCGCCCGGGCAGAGGAAAAGCTTGCCGGTTTTATTTTTCCTGAGCTAGACCTGAAACACAACAAAAGAGCGCAAAGGAGACCTGCGGCTGGTAAACACGACCCCAGAGCCTCCTTTCTCCTGCTCAGATTTGCAGTTCCAGTTTTGCCTTGAGCCCAATAATCATTTTAAGGTTACCCAGGGCACCGTGTTCGTGTTCAAGTGTATGCACCCCGCATCCTGCGAGCTTGGGGGTGGTGAGGAGAACGAGATGGCTGGGCTGGTTGGTGCTTGGGCTGGTGAACAGGACTTCCTGCCTTTGCTGGACTAGGTAACCTTGGCTTTGTTTAGGAAAAGTGCCGCAGGCTTTGCAATCCGTCGCCAAAGAGGGCAAAAGCGGAGGGGGAGAGTGGAACCCGCATTGCCCACGCTGTAAGGCCAGCCTTAGGGCTGGGCTAGGGCAAAGAGCCATGGATCTGGCTTTCTGAGAAGGAAACCTACCCCTGCTCCTCTTCCCCAATGCTCAGAGGTGGGCCACAGTAGGGGGCTCCATTTCTGGGGGAGTGCTTTTGTGTGGGGGCAAGAAGACATGAAAAATTCAGGAAATTCTGGGGAATGCAGCCATACCCAGGCAGGGTGGGGAAGGTGTTCTTGCTTCCCCATGTATCTTTTGAAAGATAATGGGCACCTATAAACCTGACTGTGGGGCTCCCTGACTGCCTAGGAGAGGTGGGGAAGAAGCGGCAGACTGGGGGACCTGAGGCAGCAGTGGGATTGGTAGGCTTGTCCAGGTTGTGGCTTATTCCCCTCTGGCCCTGTCAGGAGCTGAACTCTTAGAATGTTGCTGGGGAGATCTGGAAAGTTTACTATTATACTAATGTTTTGTACAAGTCAGAAAGTTGAAAGAGAGAGAGAGAACCCAAATGCAATGTCCTGCTATCATGTCATTTAAGTAATGTAGCATCAATGTAAGATTCCCTTCCAGGGCCCACTTGATGTGAGTAATGTTTAATACTAGCATTTTCCAAAGCGGCCTGGCTGCCAGCAGGGTCATGGCCAAGGGTACGTTTGAACAGACTGAGAAAAAAAAAACCGTCTTGATTTTTTTTTCTTCTCCCTTTAATTTTGTTAGAGGAAATCAAGTCTGATACACCAACCAGCAATTGGCTCACTGCAAAGAGTGGCAGAAAGAAGAGGTGCCCTTACACTAAGCACCAAACGCTGGAATTAGAAAAAGAGTTCTTGTTCAATATGTACCTCACCCGCGAGCGCCGCCTAGAGATCAGTAAGAGCGTTAACCTCACCGACAGGCAGGTCAAGATTTGGTTTCAAAACCGCCGAATGAAACTCAAGAAGATGAGCCGAGAGAACCGGATCCGAGAACTGACCGCCAACCTCACGTTTTCTTAGGTCTGAGGCCGGTCAGAGGCCAGGATTGGAGAGGGGGCACCCCGTTCCAGGGCCCAGTGCTGGAGGACTGGGAAAGCGGAAACAAAACCTTCACCGCTCTTTGTTTTTTGTTTTGTTGTATTTTGTTTTCCTGCTAGAATGTGACTTTGGGGTCATTATGTTCGTGCTGCAAGTGATCTGTAATCCTTATGAGTATATATATATATATATATATTAAAAAACTTAGCACGTGTAATTTATTATTTTTTCATCGTAATGCAGGGTAACTATTACTGCGCATTTTCATTTGGGTCTTAACTTATTGTAGAGCATCCATCCATCCATCCAGCAATGTGACTTTTTCATGTCTTTCCTAACACAAAAGGTCTGTGTGTGTGGTTAGTACATGAATTCATGGCATTTTGAATACATCCAGTACTTTAAAAATGGCATATATATTTAAAATAAAATATTAAGAAAACCCACAAGCTTGGAGGGAGGGGGACTAAGAAAGCACATTCCAATGTATCTTTTCACAAATGAATTTAGCAATTGTCTTTGGTGAGATGGAACATTGACGATTTATGCCTTGTAGCCTTTCCCTTGTGGTGCATCTGTGGTTTGGTAGAAGTACAACAGCAACCTGTCCTTTCTGTGCATGTTCTGGTCGCATGTATAATGCAATAAACTCTGGAAACGAGTTCGCTCCCTCTGCTTTCTGAAATGGAAATATGTTATGGTGGAAATGAAAGGCTATGGTGAGATTATCTACTGGTTAAACACCTTGTTTGGGGCATTTGAGTGGGGGAGTGATAGACTAATAGGGGAAGGGAGCTGGGTGAAAAAAGCTGGAGGAGGCCTAGGGTGTCAGATTTTGGCAGTGGTTGGGGAAGAGGAGTGATAAGCCAGCCTGAGAGTGCAGTTTTCATAATTGGGAGGAAGGGGAGTCTCCTCTTTCCTTTCCCAGCCCCCAGTGATAGTAACATAATTGCCACTCTCAATGGGTGTGAGCTTCCCTCTGGCCTGAGCCTGGTAAGTAAGCCTATACCCCAAGCCACTTTCTCCTCAAAGCTTCCCATTTGTGTGTTTTCTCCTCTTTGGTTTCGGCTGTGTTGTTTTTAATGCTTTCAGTGGCATCTTGGTGATTTCTGGCTGGCGAGCAATCATCAGGGGCTAGATTGAAGCTAGTCTTGCCCACCTGGAAGCTGCCGGCCTCCATTACAGGAGCAAGGACAAGCAGCAGTTTAGCACTGCAGCGGATCCAATTCTGCCCCCTTTCCCTCAGCCCTACCCCAATCCCAAGCTCAAGACAGCCAGACCTCAGAGAAGCCGAGGATGGGTGAGTTTTCCCATCCCACTTTGCCTTGGTCTCCTTGTGGATGGGTTTTGTGCTCTGTCATTACCTTTTAGTGGCCCATATGAAATTTTTTTAAAGGAAGAAATGAAAAGATTTTCCCCAGTCAGTCTTTCCTTTATTTAATTACAAGTGCTGGTTGGAGCTGCTGCATCTGGGATGCAAGAAAATGCAAAAAGGGTGACTGAAAATTTTGCAAATGAACATGACTTCCCATGAAGTCCAATGTTCCATTTGCTGCCATGGCCGGGGAGACTCCCACCAGCTTTCACCGGCTTCTGCAGGATCCCCGCTAGAGAGCCCAGACTTATCTAGTCCTGTTGGGGGAGGGGGAGAAGGGAGGAGAGGCCTTTCGTGGAAAACCGAACAGAAAATTCGTTACCCCAGGTCCAGCCTGCGGTTTCAAACAGCTTTCAGCAGTTTCACAAAACACATCTTTTCCATTTCTTCCTTTTTAAATGTTTCCCTAAGAAAAACTATTTAGGTGCTCTAAGTCCTCATCCAGGGAGTCTCTGGGACAGTGGCCTTTAGAATTTTAAACTTCCTCCCCCAAACCAGGAACATTCCAAGACAGACCCTTTTCGGGGGCCATTTCCTGGGGGTGGGGGAGAGGGCTTGGAATCAATGCCGGATTGAAAACATTGGAATAGGTTTGCCCCAGACTTAACACCGGTTGGGCAGGAGGAGGGTAATTTTGACTTAACCATTTCTCCGAGCGTGTGGGGAGCGCCAGTAGTTGTTAGGGGGCCATGTCTCGAGGAAAGCCTGAGCTACAAGGCAAAGGCATCCCCTCTGGAACAAAAATCAGAAAGCTATTGGCAAAGGTAATCAATCAGGCCATAAGTAGCCATTTACTCTCTTCCTTTTCGGGGCTGGAGGTGGGCCAGGAGCCCTCCAAGGATGCGCTAGACAACTTGTGGAACGAGGAATATGCCCTCCTCCGGCAGCGCCCGGCGGCTTTTGTCTCGGCTCGCAGCCGGGCTTCCGAGGCTTTGTACCATGGATTTGGGAGTGACAATGGGCATTTCCCTCAGATTCAAGGCTGCTTAGCCTCACCTCTGGAGGGAAAAAAAATTCAGAAGGGAGTGGCCCAAGGACCCGGCCATTCGGCCAGATTTTTAGACATTTTGGGAGTCTCGTCTGAGGCCTCTAAGTGCGAACCGCGCGAAGCGGCCCTGCCTGGGGAGACTCACTGAGGCAGGGCTGGGACGGCGGGCGGGAGCAGGCTGCTGTAGCATTTGGGTTCTGCCCTGTGGCGTGTTTTCTTCCAGGGCCTTTCCAGCAGCACCGGAGAAGATGAGGCACCGTGGCCGCCACTGTCCTTGCTCCGCCAACTCGCCCGCCCGGCAGCCCTTCCGCGGGCAAGCAGAAGCCCCTTCGCGTCCGCCGCCGCCGCGCCAGGCGGCTCGGCTCGCCCCTCGGGCCGCGGCGTGTGCCCAGCCTCACGTCGGGGTGTGTGTGGCCGCGCGGGGCGTGTGTGAGTGTGGCAGGGGGAGGGGGCACTCTGAGCTGCTCCATCCGTCCGTTTTATTAGGGAAACATTAATCTATAATCAAATACACCTCATAAAATTTTTATTGAAAGGCATAATATCATTACAGAGGTCTTCCACCTGTTTTAAACAACACGACAAGCTGTGAGCGAGCGTGTGTGTGGGGATGTGTGGGGAGGGGTGAGTTTGGGTAGGGAGAGAGGAGAGGGGAGAACAGCTCCCCTCGGGCGCCAGGGGCCGCCCCCGAGGGCCCGCCTGCCTCGGGCGACCCGGCCTAGCATGTCCCCGGCCGCTCCGTGTGCCCTGGACGCACCGCCCGCGGCTCGGGAGCTGGGGAGCCAGCGCCGGGGCTTGGACTGCAAGACCAAGGGCCTCGAGAAGAAGCGAACAAATAGTCCCCAGCGCCTCCTCCGGCCGCGGTCGCGTCTGTGGTCTCGGCCGCCGCTGGGCGGGCCCGGCCGAGCTGGGCCGGGCAGAGCCGGGCTCATGGACCTGGGCCTGTGGGCTCTAATTGCAGCTCTTACGTTGATGATTTTTTTTTTTTAATCACAGCAGCCCCCAGTTTAGCGGACTGATTTACTCCCGGTATTGGTAAATATGATCACGTGGGCCGCGCGACCAATGGTGGAGGCTGCAGCCTGCGAACTAGTCGGCGGCTCGGGCGCCGGTGGGGAGCGGCTCCGCGGCGGACAGAGTAACCTTGGGTGGGAGCGCGGGGCGCCTCAAAATGTCTTCCAGTGGCACCCTCAGCAACTACTACGTGGACTCGCTTATAGGCCATGAGGGCGACGAGGTGTTCGCGGCGCGCTTCGGGCCGCCGGGGCCAGGCGCGCAGGGCCGGCCTGCAGGTGTGGCTGATAATCCGGCCGCCGCCGCAGCCGAGTTCGCCTCGTGTAGTTTTGCCCCCAAATCGGCCGTGTTCTCAGCCTCGTGGTCCGCGGTGCCCGCCCAGCCCCCGGCGGCGGCGGCGATGAGCGGTCTCTACCACCCGTACGTCCCCCCGCCGCCCCTGGCCGCCTCTGCCTCCGAGCCTGGCCGCTATGTGCGCTCCTGGATGGAGCCGCTGCCAGGCTTCCCGGGCGGTGCCGGCGGTGGCGGTGGCGGTGGCCGTGGCGGGGGTGGAGGCGGCGGCCCGGGCCCCGGTCCCAGCCCTGGCCCCGGCGGCGCAGCCAACGGGCGCCACTACGGGATTAAGCCTGAAACCCGAGCGGCCCCAGCCCCCGCCACGGCCGCCTCCACCACCTCCTCCACTTCCTTATCCTCCTCCTCCAAACGGACTGAGTGTTCCGCGGCCCGGGAGTCCCAGGGGAGCAGCGGCCCCGAGTTCTCGTGCAACTCCTTTCTGCGGGACAAGGCGGCAGCGGCGGCGGGGGGAACCGGGCCCGTGACAGGGATTGGGACCGGGAACGGGACGTGCGGCTCGTCGGAGCCCTCTGCTTGCAGCGACCACCCGAGCCCCGGCTGCCCGCTGAAGGAGGAGGAGAAGCAGCATCCACAGCCGCCACAGCAGCAACTTGACCCAAGTAAGTGCAAAAGAAATTGCCCCCTGATTTATTGCTGAAACCTGTAAGGCTCGAATGTGCAAAACTGATAGTTTTACTAACCTATAAAAACGTCTAGACGCCTACCCAAGCCTAGGCGAACAACACGCATCCATAAAAAAGCTCCCCATAACCACGTACCCTGGGCGCTCGGTTTGTACGGTAAACAGAGCGCGGACATTAAGGCTTTTATGATAATTCCCCCAAGTTGTGAAAAGCGGCCATCCTTGGTGAAATTAATTTAACGACCTCTCTTCTCCACCCTGTCGTCTCTCCCTGCCTCCTCTCCGCCCCTCGCTCCCTGTCTCCAAACCCCCCTCTTTGTAGACAACCCCGCAGCGAACTGGATCCACGCTCGCTCCACCCGGAAAAAGCGCTGTCCCTACACCAAGTATCAGACGCTTGAGCTGGAGAAAGAATTCCTCTTCAACATGTACCTCACCCGGGACCGGCGCTACGAGGTGGCCAGGATTCTCAACCTAACAGAGAGACAGGTCAAAATCTGGTTCCAGAACCGTAGGATGAAAATGAAAAAGATGAGCAAAGAGAAATGCCCCAAAGGAGACTGACCCGGTGCCGTGCTGGCGGGAGCGCTCAAAGGCAGCGGTTTTTGTTTTTGTTTTTTCCTTTGTGGGTGCTTGATTTCCAGAAACTCTCCAACGACTTGGACTTCTTTTTTTTTTTTTTTTTTTTAGGTAGAAGTGATTGTGTGGTTGGTCTCTGTGAGGTATTTGGGGGACTCTATTTGCTCGCTTACGCGTTGGAAAAACCAAGTGGCTTTGGGGTTTCACCCTATCCCACACCCTCCCTTTCCTGCTCCATTGGTTCCTTAGGAAATGCAATATTTTGTGAGTGCACGCTGGCTTGGGGAGCCCTCTCTTGTGTAAATGTTCCTCATGTTTCTGAACAGTGCTGTAGTTTAGTCCCCCCACCCCCAGCACTGCCCAAACAGGGGCCAAGCGCGCCCCAATTCCGAGAATGAAGGCAGAGCGACAACAGTGCGGACACCCCGGCTGCAAGCCCCTGCCGAAGCCCGGCCGGGTTGCCCAACAGTTTCAAAAACCCCCTTTCCTCAGGGAGCCCGTGGCACCTCGGCGAAGATCTTCAGTGAGGCCTAGAGAGGAACCCAGGGCCTCGGGTGGGTTGGGGTTTCTTCCTCAGTGCATTGGACGTGCCGCTCTCTTCCCCTAGGACTGGGCTTGCGTGGGCGGCCGCGGGTGGTGGCTCTCCCAGTTCCTGCCCGAGGACCAGTTGTAAATGTTACTGCTTCCTACTAATAAATGCTGACCTGATCAATGGAGCCCAGACGCTGGCCCT